GCGGTGCGGGGCCCGACACACTGCGGCCCTCGCCTGGCCGGGGGGGGGGGGGGGTTTCGCCCCCCCCCGGGGGCCGGGGGGCCCCCCCCCCCCTTCGCCCCTGCGGCCGGCCGGGCGCGGGCCGCCGGGGGGCACGCTCGTGGGCCGGGCATGTGAAAAGGCGTGCACGGCAGGCGGCGGGAGGAGGTTGGGGGCCGGCCGCAGGGGCGCCAGGCCCGGGGCCGGGGGGGGGGGGGGGGGGGGGGGGGGGGGGAGTCGGGGGGGGGGGCGCGGTTCGCCTGGCACTTGACTCCGCACTCCGGCCAGGGCGGGGAGACGCCGTCGTCCGGGGGAGGGGGGGGGGATGCTCGCGCCGCATGGGCGAACCAGATGAGCAACTCTCGCCGGGTGGGGAGGCGAGGGCCCGGAGGGTGTCCCGCTGCCGGTCCGTGCGGCTTGGGACACGACGCGCATGTATGTGTACATGTAAATCGGATAATATATTATTCCTACTTTCCCCTGGCGCGCAGACACCCCCGGGCCAGGTGGGGACAGAGGCCCAGCCCGATCGCGGGTATTATTATTGTCTGCGGCGGCCGGCCCCCCCCCCCGCCCCCCTGCCAGGGCAACCAGCCGGCGTGTCCTGCCCGCGCGAGCCCGGGAAGGCCTACGCGTCCCACTTTTTGCTCACCCCCCCCCCTGCGCCTCTGGCGGCCCCGCAGGCCGCCGTGACCTGAGCGGACGGCTGGGACGCCCCATATGACCGCGGGCTATTTTCGGCCGGCGGTCTCCTCGCTCAGCCGGGGCACTCTCGCCCCGGGCCTCGGTGGTCCCCCTGCCCCCGGTGGGTGCGGGGGAGACCGCCGATCGCACGGAGCGGGCGCGGCGGCCCCGTTGCCGCCACCCCGGAGGCGGGGGGGCCTCTGACCATGGCGAATCCCGGGCGGGGTGCTTTTTGCCCCGGCCGCCGCGCCCGGCCCCGGGGGAGGTCCTCCCCCCCCCCCCCCCCCCCCGTGTGTGGGGTGGGTCCCGTTACCGGAAGGGGCGCCGGGGAGGCCCAAATGCATGGGGGATCCCCCCCTGCGTCCGCGGTTTCCTCGCCCTGGCTCACATGCGGGTCCCTGTTAGCAGGGGCGGGGCGGGCGGGGCCCAGTCATTTTTTATTCATGCACCCGGAGCCGCTGTGCGTGGGGTGCGCGGGGTGGTGCGCCGGTCCGTGTGTGTGCGCTGGCGCGATCCGTCGGACCGTGCCCTCTCGGGGCGTCCGCCCGTGCTTGGCCCGGCAGGCAGGCGGCACTCCGTCCAACATGGCGGAGTGTCGTCCCGCCACTCGGCCGCCCACCCCGCGGGGTCGGGTTGAACGGCAAGGAACGGGCTAACGAGGATAGACCCGGGAACGCCGTTCAGACACACACGTGAGAGAAGCACGCGGACTCGCCACTCGGGGCACGTGTGCATGGCAATTGGGCTGCCGGCATGGGACGCGGCCGCCATCCACGGCTCCCTGGGGCGCGCTCCGCCAGGTCCTTCGGCTGTGCTGGTCTCGCCGGCTTCCCGCCCCCCCTGCTGTCTGCCTGGGCCCCTTCCCCTGGGGGAAGAGAAGCGGCGATGTGCCGAAACGGGGGGCGACGGTGGCCCGATGATACGCCAGCTCCTGGCCCCCCCCCCCTTCGGGCCCTTGGGCCTTCTCCGTTGGTGGGGGCGCGCGGCCCTCCCGTCGGCGGGTGGTGCTTCTGGGCGGCGCGGGCGC